ACTGTTTAAAGTAATAATAGCAACAATGTATTGAGTAATTGCACCATATGGATAAGTGAAATGAATGACAGCAGTGCTATAAAGGACAAGCAGGAAGAATTGGGACTCATGTTAAAAGATACCTGCAGTACCTGTGTGGTAGTATTATTATTTGAAATAGTATTATTTGAAGGCAGACTTAAATTACTTAAAAATTTATATTGAAAACTCTAGAGCAACCACAAAAAAATGTACAAAATAAATGTAATTGATATACTGAGAGGACATAAAATGGGATCATATAAAATGTTCAATTAAAGCATAGAAGGCAGAAAAAGAGGTATAAAACATAATGAAGAAGAAAAACACAACAAATAGAAAGGTTATAAACATTGTAGATATTAATCTAACTAAATCAATAATAACAAATATTATTGGTCTAAATACATCAATTTAAAAAAGATTGTCACAAAAACAATGCCCTACAGTATGTTGTATATAAGAATTCCACTTTAAATATAAAGACTTAGCAGATTCAAAGTAAAGGGATGGAGAAATATATACTATGGTAACAGTAATCTAAGTATAACAGAAGTAGCTATACTTATTTAAGGCAAAGCAGACATCAGAAAATGGAACATTATCAGGGATAAAGAAGGGCATTATGCAATAATAAAAGGGTCATTTCACCAAGAAGACATAATAATCCTAAATATATGTGCACCTAACAACAGAGTATCAAAGTATGTGAAGCTAAATATGGTCTTTCCATACAATTTAGCAGTTGCTCCATAGGTATTTACTCAACTAATTTGAAAACTTATGTCCATACGGAAACCTTCATCTGATTGTATATATCCCAAAACTGGAAGCAACCAAGAAATCGTTAAGGGGTGAATGGATATACAAACTGTGGTACATCCGTATAATGGAATATTATTCAGCAATAAAAAGAAATGAACTATGAAACCATGAAAAGACATGAGTGAACCTTAAATGCGTATTGTGCAGTGAATGAAGCCAGTCTGAAAAGCTGTATGACTCTGGAAAAGGCAGAATTATTGAGATCGTAAAAAGATCACTGGAGGGAGAAGTAAAATGTGAAGCAAAGGCGATTTTTTTTTTAGACTGGTGAAAGTATTCCATATGATACTGTAATGATACATGACATGATACTTTTGTTAAAACCACTAGGAGTTTCACGAAGTGAACCTTGGTGTATGCACATGAAAAAAAATCATTTAAGAGATCTGGGAATTCCAAGATAGAATGCAGACGGTGGCCAAAGAATCTGACTGTATTACAAATGTGTGAAACAACCTCACTGAAGGAGGTAGGAGAAAAAGATGCTGACCTAAGTAACTTTATAAATGAGCGTAATCTATAAAGCTAAAGGCAAAGAAACTGCACATTAGCACTGTACTGGGGTTAATAAAGTTGTTTCCACTGATTATACATGGTTACTGGATGTGAACAATCAGATAAATGGATGGCAGGTGCCAGATGTCTCACTGTTGGAAGGAGAGTTTACAGATTAGCAAGGGAAGGGGCTAGAATGATCCATGTGGTTAATGGGTCAAGAGCTGGAGACATCATTGTAACATGTGTTTAGTTTAATATAGATATAGATAGCTACATATGGAATTATTGATATGTATCTATAAATGTGTTAGTATTCACACTTTTTTTTTGCTCAGCCAGCTGAAATGGCCTAAAACCAAGAACCCTACAGTAGCAATGAGTACATCTAGCACCAAGATCTTAATAGCTAATATCATTCTCCCATAAAAGGAACCAGGGCTCTTTGGAGAAATGGCTTATTTTAGGATTGGGGCAGAAAACATACAAGGTGAGCCTGGAGCATTTGGTGATAACAGAAAGTAAGTGCTTTGAAAGCAAAAAGACCACGTGATGGGGACGTGTCAAAGGAATATAGGATGCAACTGAAAAGCTCCCAGTGGCCGAAGCTAGAACCATCTGAACAACATAATAAATATTGGATTATAAACCCATGCATAAAATAAATATCTTTTAGTTGCACTGATATAAATAAATGATTGTAAATGAATGAATGAATGGAGAGACATCTTACATGTGAAAAAAGCTCCAAATAATTTATGTAGATATTCCCCCGCTGAAGGAGGTAGATTGTAACTCCTCATTCCTTAAGTATAGGATACACATAAGGACTTATTTTCAAAGAGTACAGTATGGAAAATAGGAAAAAGGGAGTGATTTTATAGTGGAGAAACCTGGCAAACAATACTTCCACCAAGTTCTCAAGATCAAAATCAACAGTGGTAAGTCACATTGATAGTATGTACCCTTGATATGATGTGGTGAAAATGGCACGTTACCTCTATGGTCTTCTTCCTCAGTAACCAATAACCCCAGTGTAATCATGAGAAAAACATTCGACAAATCCCGGTTGAGGGGAGTTTTATGAAATACCTGACAAGTACTCCTCAAAACTGTTAAGGTCATCAAAATAAGGAAAGTAAGAAACTGTCACGGCCAAGAGAAGCCTACGGAGACATGACAAATCTATAGTATCCTGGATGAGATTGGATTCTGAGTAAACTAAGGAAATCTACAATATGGATTTTGGTTAATAATAATATATCAATATTGATTCATTAATTGTAACAAACTTATACTAATATGTTGTTAATAATAGGATAAACTGGGTATAAGGTATATGGAAACTCTGTACTGGCTTCACAATGTTTCTGTAGACCTAAATCTGTTTGAAAATTTAAAGTTTGTTTAAAAATAAATAAATAAAACAACATTTCCCCCTAAGCCACCTGCCTGGTTTTGTTACTAGGTCTGGAATGAAACCCCAATCTTTCTTCCCTTCCCCATTCGTCAATTAAAGTTGGAAAATATTGTAGTTTGTTTTTTCTTGGTAGTGGTGGCTGTTTATTCAGCTTTCTCATGTTTATCATACTCTGGGGACTTGCATAAGGAAGATACAGCACCTGCTCTCAGAGGTGCTTACAATACACTCAAGAAAGGGGACAGACAGGCAATGATATGTAAGCACTGTTACTGCTTCTGGCTACTGTTGCAAACATGTTAGGAGAAGAGTGTCCTCTTTTACGCTGCCTCCAAATTCTTCCAGGGGAGGTTGGCTCTTTTGGTTAACTTTGATGATACCCTTTTTAAGTGACCATACTTTTTTTAGGCCTGCAGATGTGGTCTTTGTATTTTATATTAATAATCTTCTCTTCCAAGATGCTTAAAAGAATTTAGATGATATCCAGTGTTTTACCCAAAAGCCTTCTAGTGAATTCAAACACAGTGTCACAGAATAGAAAACACATCTTGGTCTCTGTTTAAATATAGCTACCCCTCCCCAAATCCACCACTCTGTATCTCATTACTTTGCATTATTTTACTTCACAGTACTTATCTTCACCTGGCATTTGTTATATTTTTATTTGTTCATTGTCTTTCACTTCTAGAAATTTTCACAAGGGCAGGAACTTTGTTTTCTTTAGTGGTCTATTCCTAACATCTAGCACAGTCTAGAAAATAGTAAGCACTGAGTAAATATTTGTCGAATGAATGCATGCATGACAGATATGTCTTCCATTTGTCCCAGTGGGCCTGCCTACAGACCAAAAGAGAAGACCTTTTGCAATAACCTGTTTGATATATCAGAATTCCTATGATATTTATACAGATTGCAACACTAGCTAGGTCCTTACTCCATTTTTATTTGTATAACACTTGAAAGTTTTTAGAGTGCTTTCCAATAGATTGTCTTTTCTGATTCCTTGAGTAACAGTATGAAGCCAGTAAGAACTTTCATATCTATTTTACAAATGAGAAAGGTTAGGAAATGGAATTTGCAAGGTAAATATCATAGCCAGAGCTAGAAACCAGAGCTCATGACTTCTAGATCATCAGGTGATTACCCGGGATTATGTTTCATCTCCACTTGCATGTAGAATGTATATGCTTTTGAGGGCAAGGGTTTGAATTATTTGTTTTTATATTTTTCACTGTGCTTTACACAGAGTGCACTTACCACAGGTGTATCAATTTGAAACTTTCAATCTACAGAATAGTCATGGAAGTATCATTTCCAATTGAAACTAGAGGGGAAAGTTTTGGCCACTTCTCCACTTCCATCCACTGCTTCTTCGATCGACCTTGGGAGAATCTCAGAGATTAGCTTTACATATGAGGCCAGAGATTCAGTGGGCTACGGATATGGTTAGAATTCTACCTCCTCTGCTAAGTAAACTCAAGCAAGGTACTTAACTTTTCTGTGCTTCAATTTCCTCTTTAAAACTGGGGATCATATTAGTACTTAACTTTTACAAGTCATCACGAAGATTGACTGAGTTCCTACTTTAAGAGCACCTAGAATAGTGCACGGTGCATCACACTCCATTAATCTTTATTATTATCGTTTGTCTTCTTGTGTTATTCTGATAAACTATATCAATAAGTTTAAGAGAATTTGAGAGATAGATAATTGTTTAAGATATTTGCAAGTGTTGTTCATCCTGATCTGGATGGAAGACAGTGCTTTTATTAACAAACAACACAGTAGAAATCAGCGAATAGTGATTCTCCTTGTACCATCACAGCTGTACTGTGTACTTTCTATCAAACATAAGGAAATGAGGGAAAAATGAGTTGGCACTCAGTTTTGTAGTGAAGTGTTATATGATGTGAAGCACAGGGAATAAAATTGTTTTTATTCATCTCAGTTATGCATTAAATAAACCAACTTGATTTTAATTGGTGATATGGAAATATGGAGGCAGTAGCCCCAGGGGTCTGTAAGAATCCATTTGGTGTTTAATTTAATTCATCTTATTATAAGGGGAAGAAAAAGTATGGACAGATTTTTTTTTTTCAAGTTTTTCAAATAATTAATGAAAAATAAAGTTGTGTTCCTCAGGAAAAAAAATTTACACAACTCATTTCTTCCACTGACTCAAAATTGTGAAAAGGAAATAAGTTTTTAAATTAATGTAGAGTTTTTTTTCCTTGTGTTTTAGGATCAGATTTTATTAAGACTTCTACTGGTAAAGAAACAGTAAATGCCACCTTCCCGGTAGCTATCGTAATGCTACGGGCCATTAGAGATTTCTTCTGGAAAACTGGAAACAAGGTACATTATTGCCAGCAAGTCTTTCTTCAGAGTAAATATAATGTTATTTATAATGCTAGTTGCAGCCTCGATAACTGTCTTTGTATGCAGAAGGTGTGAATGAGTTACCTTTATTAAGATAAATGTTTAATTTACCTTCATCACAAAAGAACACATTCATGGAGAAAAATGTGCGATTAACATAGTGAGTGTGAGTGTGGGAGTAAGTATGTGTGATCAAGATGTAAACTTCCTTTATGTCCTTTTATTAACCGAAGACAATTTTATCACTGACAAGAGATTCCTAAATGGGTTCTTTAACGAACTAATTCTACTGCAACACAGAGGCTTTCTGGTAAGGCGTTGGCCAGCGAAAACAGGTTAATGCAGAAATTAAACTTCCTTGAGGAATGGAAAGAATTGCAGAGTAACATTTATTGAATGATAAGCTGTGGTGGTGATATGAAAAGTATGCAATATAATGGGAAATAATCTTTTCCTGTCATTATTGAAGGACACACATAAATTGCTTTTTCTGTTGGGAAACCCCCGGTCCAGAAAAACTTATTACTTTTAATAATATGAGGTGAAGAGAAAATTCTTGAGGAGATGAACTTATTAAACAAAATAATGAAATGCTGTGAAACAGCAGGGAAAAGGTAGCTAGACGTTATATAGCTCTTGAATTAAATATCCATTTTTGCGTTTTATAGCAGTTGGATGTGCTCTTTGGAAGACTGTTAAGCTGAGGAGGGTATATGCTAGCTTTTGTCAGCTTTTTGAAAAATAATACATATTTTTTTAAACACGAAGTTAAAAGAAAAAATACGTATGAGGTGTTTTTAAAATGAGTTTGGATTTTCTTTTTCACTTCGAGTTGCTTGTTTAGTTGCAAATTATCTCAAAGGGTTTTTTTTTTTACATCATTGGAGAGAAAGGTAATTTTTTTTAATAAGACTTTCTCTTCCTCAAAAGGTGTCTTTTAAAACCAATCTCTTGATTTTTGCCGAATAGAAACTCCAAAAGAGACCTTTAATCCTTTGCCAACTGGATGTGATGACTTTATATGTGACGGTAGCTTCAGTTTATTTTGGAATCAGAGACCTTTTTTAGAATGTACTGGGTTTGAGAGGGAATAAACTGCTCCCAGAATTTTCTCTTTCAGAATAACTTTATGTGTTAAAAAAGTACAAATAGGATAAATATCTACTGTGACCTACATGTGAAAGTTGACCCAGCTTAAGTAGCCTTTCTGCAGTGATCCAAATTAAAAAAATAAATTTTTAAGTAAAGCTATGAAAAGTAAGAGAACTCTATTTTTGGCCACCCCAATTGAGTGAGTGGGCCCACCACTCACTAGACCAGCTGTTCTTATTCTTGGCCAAAGAATATCCAAATAAATGTGAGGCTTTTTATACTTAAAGATGCCTGGGCCTCATCCCTGACACTTCTGGATCAGGGTTATTTCTCAGGCATCTACACGTTTCATAAGCTCTGTAGTCGGGACTAAAACTCTCTATTGGAGACCCAATCTTGTTTTGGTTTCAACAAAGATTTATTGAGTCGTTAACTACGTGCCATTTAAATGCTAGGGATACAAAAACGAACAAGTCCCTTCCCAGGAAACCCCTTAGACATGAGCAAACAATTTCAGTAAAAATTTTAAACGATCATTGTTCTAGACCAGAGTAGAGGGCGAGGGACACTTTTCTGTCTTTCAGCCCTCTCCTCAGCTAATAAACAAAATTCATCCCAGTTTCATTAAGAAACGAACAGGTATGAGTCAAACCATATTCATTTTAATTACATTTGATTTTACACAGTGAGGCGCTGTATGTATATCTTGCAAATCAGGCGCATCCTTTCGGGTTGTTGACAAGTTGCCTGGGCAGTCCTTAGACTGCAGTTTCTACATCACTGATTTAAGGGGTGTTTTAAAATGTGATCAGCCGCCTTCCAGACCATGATTAGTGTCACTCCTGAGAAGCAGAGGTTTAATATTTCATAACTGATTTCACTGCAGATTTATGTTTTCCATATTCTCTCCCTGAAAAAAAAAGTACAAACTTATGCTAGAACCTCTCTTTAGAAGTATTGGTAAACAGACTTACTGACACAACTGAATTAGATAGAAAAATCTATATGCAGCACTGCTTAATTGATAGACGTGCTCCTATGATTAACATGTATGCTAATATCAGCTAATTGATTTTTTTTTGCCTCTTCTCAGTAAATAACCTCATCTCACTTACCTCTCTCACCCCTCCCACCTCCCCTCACTCTAGAGTTACTTGGGCTCCAGAGTAATAGGTAGATCTGGTTAGAATTTCTACACAGCTGCTGCTTAGCTGTGTGACATTGTGTGATTGAGTCAGGGAAACCTGTTGGGAGACCTTTACTGATATTCCATGTGAGAATTGATGAGGATTTAAACTAAAACAGTAGAAGTGAGAGTAAAGAGGAAAGTGTGTGCAGGGGACATATAGAAGTTAAGCAGGTAGGATTGGTAGGATTTGACTGTTGATCTTTTGGGTGTGGTGTGTTGTGACGAGGAAAATGGCAGAGTCTTTTCTATTAACCTCATAGGTTAACTATGAGGTTTCTAGCTTGGGTTGATAATGGGACCATCCATTTATTATCATCTCCCTTCTCTAGCATTCCGTTAGCCGTCACCCCTTGCTGATACTGTCTATCAAACAAACAGCTCTGAGTGGTTAAGTGCCTGAGCTTCAGTACTTGGGCTGTAGGATGCTTTCTTGATTGCTCCCATCTATAGAGTCTCACTCTACTGGACAGTCAAGTTCTTGAGACAAGTAAATCCAGATAAGCAGGTTTTACTATATATATAGAACACATTTATCCTTTTCTAATGGACTCAGGGACATCATTTGTAAACATCAGGTATTGGCTGAACTGTGCTGTTTTATAGTCACTTTCAAAGACTGCTGAAGTGTGAAGAGCCCCTACACTGTCTTTTTCTACTGTGCTTATTTAACTGGTCTGGCTGCTCTCTATAACTCTTGCCTATTTACAACTTTTGTTCTGTTTACAACAGAAAAAAAGTCCCTGCAGTTAAGTTGATTACAGTGACTGTCAGCTCTTCTTGCTGATTGCTGCCAGTTTGGTCGGTGTGACCTCACTGATTTGCTCCTTTTATTTTAGATACACAGATGTGTCTTTTGCACCTCAAGATGAAGGGCTGAAAGGTGTCTGTACAAGCTTACTTGTAGAAATGTAAGATGAGTGGGCTTTTGTGATATGTTTTCCTATGTATCGACACCTCTCTTGTTTATCCCAGGTTCACAGCTATAGTCTAGATGGTTGAGGCTTATGACTTTCCAATAAGTGAAACGTTAATGAGAGTTATTAACTCTCATTAGTGTCTTCTCAAAGCAGTGACATTCTTCCCATTAATCTTGGAAAAGTCATTTTGTAGTGTGAATGGGTGTCAGTGATCTAAGCTCTTTTGCCAGGCGAACTGAAGTAGGCTGAAAAAAAAAGAGAGAGAGAATCAAGACCTGTAGTAATACAGTATCATTTCTTTAAGGCAATCCAGAAACAATAAATCTTATTCACTTTCCCACCTTCCCTTTTAGATAGGCTTTAAGCCAGCAGGAGGCATCCGCAGTGCAAAGGATTCCCTTGCTTGGCTCTCTCTCATAAAGGAGGAACTAGGAGATGAATGGCTGAAGCCAGAACTCTTTCGCATAGGTGCCAGTGCCCTGCTTTCAGACATCGAGAGGCAGGTGAGTAATAACTCATTGTCTTTGGAACATATTGACAGGTGTTTTTGAGAAAGAAATGAAAAGTCACCTATTGGGCTATGAGAACTACAGAGGAAAACTCATCTGAATTACTTCATCATACCTAAACCTCTGCCTTCTTCCAAGCAGACTTCCATCTGAAGTAGGCTGGATGGAGATTCTGCTGAAGCACATAATGGTGGGGCTATATTATCAAATGCTAATTAAAATTATTAATTATTATGTGATAGTATAATTATTAATAGATCTGGGTAATAATATAATTATTAATTAACTAAACTCTGCTTTCCTCACAGATTTACCATCACGTAACTGGAAGATATGCAGCTTATCATGATCTTCCAATGTCTTAAATCAGCAACAAATTCCAGAAGAGATTTTTACAATGTTTAAAAATTATTTTTCTATGTAATTGCTGAAATTATTTAATTAAAAATGGAGGAATAGGTGACTGACATTTTTCCCTTAAAAATTTCATTGAATTTAATTCAAAGAATGAAAGAAAAACTGCACATGGTACTTATTTCATGCACATCTAAAATAGCCTTAATTACTAGAAGATCTGTACTGTTTATTTTGTGAAGGTTTTCTCTTAAAAACTCTGAGTAAAATGTTACTGATAGCTTTGATAACATTAAATTCTAAGAAAAAATGTTAAACTGTCGAAGAAAATTGCTCTAGCAACAGGAAATGCCGCATCCCTGACCTGCTGCTATGCCTTAACCACTTCTGGAGTCACTGACTAATTTCCTGCCATAAAAATTCATCTTTAATTTTTGCAACAGATATGCTCTTTTATTAATTATGTTATTCGTGAAATTTTTGTCAATGTTATATGCAATTATGGATATCATTGAATTTTTTAATTAAAAACATCCCTATAGTTGTTTATTTTTTTAAACTTTAAATTGTAACAATACATCTTGAAAAGTTAATCCATTAAACATGTAAAGAGGTTTTATCGGTGACTTCGTCAATATCTCTAGTAGAGTCCTCGGGTATTTATCTCAGATAAATCATTTCAGTACATTGTTAATGAATACAACTGATGTATATTCTGAAACTGAAGACTTTCTAGTATAGTGAATAGGAGAAAAACAACAGACACTACCATAGCACTTAACAAGTGCTAAACTCTTCACAGATATCAATTTATTTAATCCTTGTTTAATCCCTATAACAGTAAGGTATGTAAGTACAATAAGATTTTTAATTCTTACAACAGCAAGTACTGATATTGTCCTTTTATACAGACGAGGGACTGAGGCACAGAGAACTTAAGCAACTTGCGGAAAGTCACAGAGCTCAAAATTAATATCATCAAGAGTCAAGTCCTGGCAGGTAGTCTAGCTCGTGAGTCTGCACAGTCTATCACTGTCCCCCAGCACACACAGACACGTGAACAGAGCTCACTGTCAGCTATGCGGAATGGTCATCTGCATTGCAGTCTATTGGTGACTTTGTCCTCTGTCTCTTCAGAATTCCCACCTCCAATTTTTTTTGTTTTTGCTTGCTAGCACCTCTACTACATTATAGAATCCAGGTTTTCTTAAATGGTGATTTTCATGGAGTCTTTTTTCCTCTCTGAATGAGTCTCCAGCTACTCATAAGTGGAAAATCCTAGACTGGGAGTCAGTTTTTGTTTGATCTTCTCCTCTGCCAAATTCTAGCCCAGCCTCATACTCTTCTTAGCTTTGTGACGTTGGTTCAGTCATTTCACATCTCTGAATCTCAGTTTCTTCATCCTTAAAATAAAGGGATTGAGGCAGGTGATATCAAGGTTCTTTCAGACCTAAAATTATAATACCATAAGGATAATTATAACAAATCCAAGAAAATGTTTTATGGCTGTAAAATGAAAAAACTTATTGTAGCAATCTAAATTAGAAATTGCTTCTCAGGAGTCAATTAAGCAAGTTCCTGAAAGCACCTCCCTAACTGTAAATGTGATGACTAAAATAAGAACAGAAAAGAAATCTTGCTTTCTCCCAGTGCCTTAGCAGAAAGCTGACTCTTGACTTATGCCTTTGGATATGGTCACTGGTTCTGAATGCCATATCCACCTTCATAACATGTTGGCCCAGGTGCCCACTAGAACAATGGCCAGTTACCTTTGGAGAAGAAACTTTGCAGAAAAATAATTACATTCTATCACCTTTGAAGCTGTTCCAATTTCACAGGGGTTTTTGTTTTCTTCCCATTAAACCCAGCTGGTCATTTTAGTTGATCAAGTGAACAGGCATCATTATCTTCAGTTCTGATTTATATGAGGCATCCACTGAAATTGACCTCTGTGGACAATTATAGATTCACATAGGAAATTAACACTGGTGAGTCCCTCAAACCTATTAGAGGCTGATGAGCATGGCCTGATCTAAAGGTAAATAATGTTATATTTTGAGAGACAGTTTATTTCAAGGACAATTGGCCTCTTCGTCAGATATGTCTGCACCTTACCTGGCTCTTGAAATCAAATGTAACATAGATGACTTTAGTAAGAAAACCCAAAACCCTAGTAAATGTTGATTGCTATGAGAACATAAGAGGAGGAGGTCATTTCTGAGGTGACTGTGATTTACTACAAGCAGATTTGTGTACTTGAGAACACTGAGAGCAGATGCTTTAAACAGTCAGAAAAGTTTTGCTGTGTTCTGTGTTTAAAGCTTCTAAACTAATAAAAGTGCTTCCCCCAAATTGTCATTATTGTTCAGTAAAGCATATTAGGTTTTAAAGTTACTTTTAAACAACAAATTATGTAATTTAGGGGCTTAAAGTGACTTTAGGGAATAGTTTTAGCCATCATTGTTTACATGAGAAAAGAAACTCAAAGTGGAAATCACTTATGCAAGGTCACATAGAAAGTCAAAGTTGAGCCCAGAACCTAGATCCATATCACATCATGAAATATTTTGTAAGGCTTTGAAACTTTCTTACTTTTTTATATATCCTGCCATACCTAATATTATATTTGTCAGCATGTGAACTTCAGACTTTCACAATACTTACTTTTATGTCTAGGAGTCTTCTAAATGGTGTTTTGGAGAAGACCAGCTACCTAAATCTAGTTCAAGTGATAGTGTAGTTAATTTCATGTTAGACTTTCAGAATTTTTGATAACCTCAAGAACTGAGGTTTTATTTTTTTAAAAGAGAGTTCAATGTTGCCCTTTTTTTTTTTTTTTAAAGAAAAATGGGGGCTTGTTTGGGTTCTAGTCTACAAATGGAGAGAAAATGACTGGTGTAATTACAAAACAATTTCATAATTTCATAATCTTTGCCTCATTCTGGATTATTTCAGTACTAACAGAGAACTTAGGCAAATTAGTTTGCATGAAATGCAGCATCTATGGAGACCTGTATAAAGCAGGAACTGTTAGAGTTATCTACCTGGAAGTGCATTCTTACAAGGACATGATATAGTGTGTCCTAAATGAGCAGAACAGTTTGCTACATCACATATATATATATGTCTAAAGCCAGATCCAGAAAAACCAAATCAGCTTCTTAGAAAAGTCAATTTGTACTTCAAATACAGAGGGAGACCAGTATTAACTTTTCTTCCATCAACTTGATCATTTTTTTGATACAACATAAATAGGGCCACAAAGTAGAAATAGAAGAGGAAGAATTTGAATAGATTATACTTTCAAAGAAGATAAAATGTTATGCCCATTATAGCACTAGGAAAAAGGTATGAGGTGAAATCAATTTCTACAATTGTTTTCCTGAGTCTTGCCTCCCAAAGGAAAAAATATATTTTATAATCACCACCAAATGATCCTTTCCACAGGTAATGACCACAGGTAACATCTGGCTGATATATAAAATACGTAGTAAAAATAATCATTTTTAATTAACTAAAACCTGCTCAAGAGAGAGAGAGTCAGAGGAATATCCATCTGGTCAATTCTTATTTAATAGGGCAAATGAGAATCAGAATGTTTAATGCAGTATTTGTGAAATACTTAGTGACCTCATGATGAACTAAACTTTTTTAGGAAGAATAGGAGTGAGAAGGAGGACTCAGAATATCTAGAAAGGACAGACATACAATTTGATTTACTGTAAAACGTAGGCAGAATATAGGAAGAGCCTAGGTTTTATGGCATTAGTTTCTATGGTTGAATAATAGGAAATGTGTTTTAATTCATTTGAACAATAAAATGAGGTTATACTTTACTCTGGAGTTTGACAAAGATGATGAAGAGTTTTAAAAAGTAATTATAAAACAAAAATAAAAGGAACTGGGATTATTTAGCCCAAGGAGAAGTCTTGAAGGGAACTTTATGTCTAGTGGTCCCAGGAAGTTACTTCTATATTAGATCTTAATAACGAAGATTATTTCCTCTGTGGAAGAAGAAAGGAGTTTTTGCTATATATGAAGTTAAGTTAGTTCTGGAGAAGAACTCTCATGCTTGAAATGTGCTTTTAAGAAAGTCCATTTGCTATTCCCTTCTTAGAAGTAGAGTCTTCTTTGATTGGAGTGGTTAGTTGTGCTGCCAAAGAAAGTAGTTCCCTAACTACTTTCCCAACTGGTATACATCAGAAATACTGGGAGAGTTTATAAAATACAGAATTCCAGGCCCCACCCCCCAGAATTTCCAGTTCCTTAAATCTGCTATGAGACCCCAGAATTTGTATTTCCAAGAAGTTCCCAGGTGATACTGATACTATGATCCAGGAGCCACACTTTGAAACCACCAGATTAGAAAGCCTTGTACTCAACACCTAGATTTCAACATAAATGCATCTTTCAGTAGTAAAACCCACCAGCTGCAGCACCTCTTTAGCATGAAACTTCAGGATAAATGTGTATATTTTGTTGGTTTTCAAAGCCAAGAACAAGAGAGGGAACAAGGCAAGTGACATTGTCCTTTAATCCTTTTACAGTAGGCAGTGAACTAGATTTTACTTTGGGCTTAAAAGGAAGCTTTGGAGCCTAGAATAAACATTTTAGCTGAATTTAGAATTATCCACAAAATC